ACCCAGGAAAAAGCTAATCTCCTCAATGATTACTTTGTGTCAGTTTTTCACCAGCCCAAGGGGATCACCCTGCCTGACAAGACTCAGTACGAGGGTACGGCTGACCATACACCTACATTTGGTGAAGACCTTGTGAGAGAACACCTTGAGAGGCTGGACATAGATAAATCAGCAGGCCCTGATGAAATTCACCCTAGACTGCTAAAAGAGTTGGCTGACATCTTAGCTCAACCGTTGGCGTGGATATTGAAGAACTCATGGCACTCGGGACAGGTTTCTGAACAGTGGAAGAGGGCCAATGTGGTACCTATATTCAAGAAAGGAAGGAAGGAAAATCCAAGGAACTACAGACCAATCAGTTTGAACCCAATCCCTGGGAAGATCTTGGAGAAAATTATCAAACAATCGGATGATCTCATGAGGTCCCTTCCAGCCCTAATGTCTATAAAATCTAAATTTGACACATGGTATGTGTAACATATAACAAGGCCCTCTGTTTGCTTCTTCTTCACTCAAAGGTGGAGTCAGCTTTTCTGGAAAACTGTTTGCATCTGAAAAGGGCCAAACAATTTCTGTAGAGAAGCTGTGCACTGCAGGAAGTGTGTGTATGACAATGAGCTCATTTCCAAGTTTATGCAAAATGCAAGAAACCTAAAATGACATGAAGCTTTGAATTTTGCAAAAGTTTTTGGCCCCTCCCTAGCTCATACCCCCAGGCTTCTGCTACAATTACCTGACCCAAATGCAAGGTGGTTTTCTGATGTGCATATTCCCCCCCAGTGCACTTGGTTAGGCCCTGTATGCTACATTCTTGGTCAGAATGAGTGCTGTTTATGTTACTTCCACTGAGAAACTTCAAAGCCCTCCTTTCCTTCACACCATTTTAGTTCTAGGGTCGGGCTAGAAGATCTACTAGGTCCCTTCCGACCCTTAATCTATGAATCTATGAATCTATGAATCTACCTGAATTACAGTCACTGTGGGTGTGTCTACACATGAAATTAGTGTGCCTGAATAAACTCTGGTGCAATTTGCACCAGAGTTTATTATCCCAGAGTTTATTGCTTCCCAGGAGCAGTGCTTACACATGCGCCTGGGATTGCCACTTGTTGAGCCCAGCCATCACAGCCCTGGCTGGTAGGGAGCCCAGGGGGAGCCTAGGGCCCAGCCCCAGCTCAATGTGCTGTGAAGGTGCTGACTGAGACATTCGGGTGCTATAATGCAGGGTTAACCAGCAGGCAGCCCTATTACTGTAGCACCCTCATGCCCCAGCCACCATCTACATGTGTGCTGCAGCAGAGTAAATAACTCTACTATAGGATAGTAATTTTGTTGGGCATTACTATCCTACAGTAGAGTTAATTAGTTTATTCCAGCTTAATAGTACTGCACATGTAGATGGTGACGCTTTCTGCAGAGCTGATTAGTCAACTCCACAATAAAGCACGCGTGTAGATGCCCCCTATGCTTGCTTTCTTATCAAACACTTGTTTTTGGCTCCCTGCACCACAAACATTAGTGCATTTTAATAAGAAAAACAAAAAGAAAAAGGAAAGTAGGCTTCAAGTCAGTTCAGTCCATTTGGAAAGCATTTTCCCTCTTGTAAGGGCCTTGGAGATCTTCTACCCAGTCTAAAGTAGCCAAGTGAAAATAAAACCCAAATTACACCAGGGAAAGCACGTGCTTAGAACAGATCCCATCCAGACATTGCTGGACATTAGGCAATTTGGGGAGTTGGCCAAGTTCTGTAACATACCAAACAGCCCCAACTCCAGCGAACTTTGCATCCAGATTCCAGGTTCACAACCTGGGCCCATTCCTAATGATTACGTACTACAGAGAACAATGCCCATCATGGTAAAGGCACCTCCCTTTACCAGGCGATCTCAAAGCAATGCACTAATGCTAATGAAAGGATTGCTTCACTGGCATAGATATGAACATTACACTGTCCATTTTATACATGGAATACTTGACACAAGGGCGTATCTGGCAAATCTCACACCTCTGCAGATAGCCAACCACAAAGGCCATGCACCAGTTAAGCCCAGTTGTGAGGGCTTCATCAGGCTGTAAGTGATTCACCAATGTTGTGAAGGCCTCAGACCTGGCGTGTTTTCACTGAAGGGGCTGAGAAAGAAATCAAGCATCCAAAACAGTCCTGCTTTCCAGCCCCCTGTGGCTGTTGTTAAATATTATTTTTCCCACATATTAAAAGCTCTTCAGATGGAAATGTCCACATGTTAAGGAAGGAAAAGATGAGCTAAGTGGGCTCTGAGCATCTCAGAGATAATCCTTTCTGAGCAAGGATTATCTTTAGCTCCTCTTAGGCAATTCGCGCTGCTGTAAAATTAGACTTCTCCATAGGACCAATACAAATTGGGAGCAGTCCTCCAGCATCTCAGGAGGTGCCACTCTCAGCCTCCACCACATAAATGATCTATCCTCTGGAGCATTACTGCTCTGGAGTGACAGCTGGAGAGAGCAGGCACCTGAGGGTGGCAGTCCCAAAGAAGGTAAGAATCCCACTGCCCCCACTTCTCCCCTGTGCTCAGAGGCATGTCCTCTCCCCACCCCCAGCTCCATTCCTTGTTCTACGCTCACTCATCTCCCCCAGAGCTCACCCCCTGCCCCTACTGGGGCTCCTCTTCGCCTCCAGACTTCCTGCTCACATGTGGCTGGCAGTGCTGTCCCAGGAGTGAGGGAAGCTCCTGTCCCACTTCAGCGGCTGTGCAGGGGCTGGGCTCAGCCTGAAGGGTGGCAGAGACAGTAGCAGCAGACAGCTGGGGAGCAGGCAGAGCAAGGAAACCTACCTGCCCACTGCTGCCACAGCTGCTGCTGCTCTCCAAGCTAACCAAAACCCTCACGCAGCCCCTGGAGTGGGACAGGATCTTCTCTCACCCCTAGGACAGCAGTGGCAGCTGCAGGTGAGCTAGGAGCTGGGAGGAGTCCAGGGGGAGACAGGGCGAACCCTGGAGGCCAGCAAGGGACAAGGTGGATGAGATGTGAGTCATGAGGTCCAGAAGAAGGGGGAAGACCTGCTGGAAAGCTGTTGAGAAGTGGAGATTGGAAGCTCCTAGCCACACCCCTGCATGCCAGTCCTCTACAAATCCAACCCGTGCAGGTCAGAGAGGGTACTAACCCTTGCCATGCATTCTTTTATCTGTTAAACCATGCGGAAAGCAGAGTAGAACTGTTCTCCTGCAGTTCCACTGGGAACAGCCTACCTACTGGGCAGGTCTACACGTGCATTTATACTGGCTTCAATTTACTGTGCAGTAAGTTACTGCACAGCAAGTACGAATAGGCTGGCATCTACATGTGCAGGCACTAAAGTGCATTAATACTGTGTGTGGACTGACTGAAGACTAAAGTTAGTCCCAAGTCAGTTCACACACACAGTGTTACTGCTCAGTAAGGCATCTACATGTGTGTTACTGTGCAGTAACTAATCGGGTGTAAATTTGATATCGGCATGATGCAGGTATCAAATTTATGCTCAAGTCGGCATAAGTCGCCATATTTACTGTGAGTACAGATGTGCGCATTTTGACATGTCCATAGTGTGCAGTAATTTTGGTTACTGTGCAGTAAATGTGCATGTGTAGACGCACCTGCTATCTCCTCTCCTAGGTAGCAGGAGCTCACATGTTATCAAACTCACTAGAAGGGCAAAGGTCGTTAGGTTTTGCACTTAGGACAGATGTCTTGAGCTGGAACAAACAGAATTTTTTTATGGAACAAGGTGCTTTGCCTCCAGAGAAGGGTTCTTTGTAAAAGCAAAACAGATGAAGGAAGTGCACACCCTCCTGCTTTCAGTGCAGCTTGTGCCACAGCTCTTAAATACACACGCAGAGGGGCTAGGGCTGATCTAGAACACACAGAGGTCAGTGGGAAATCTTCACTGGTCTTTGGGTCAGGGAAGAGCAGTGAAGCTGAATCTGTACCCTTTAGAACAAGCCATTTTAGAACCACACACACATATATACAAGTGCAACAAGGATTCTGACATGTAAAGACTTGGGCAGGATTGATACATTTCTAATGTTAGCAATGCTTCTCCACTTGGTATGCAACAGAAGAGATCTCAGAGGTCATTACAACACAGAAGCAGTTCATTTACATGCTCAGCAAATTCTAAGAAAACAGTCAGGCCTCACGCTACAGAGAAAGGCAAAACCCTCGTAGTCTGACCTAGGGGGAAAACTCCTTCCAGGCCCCAAACATAGTGACTGATGTGACCCTGAGTATAAGGGCAGAACCCTCCAACCAAGAAGCTCTGGGGTTTTTAAGTACCAGCAGGAGCATCAGTCTACCCCAGTACACTTCAGTTAAAGCCTCACGGTATCCTATCCATCTGGTTGTAAAGTCTTCAGTAAGGTCTATGCTGTACAGCAAATTAAGGAACCACCCACTGCAGCAGGCAAGGGCATGCATTGCATTGTTTGTCTACTCTTTTTGCCCTGGAACAGTCAGAAACATTTTGGTTTTCCATTCAGTTTTGCAGTTCAAAGCCATTGCAAAACCAAGAATCTGGAGATGGCCTTTGCTCTCCTCTGAAAACCTTTCCAAACAGATGTGGCTTTGAAAGCCAATAAAACAGTATATTTTTACGATTCTCTGAGCTGCCAGCCACAAGGTGTCCATGGCCATTGTCTGTTTTATCATAAAAGACCAGGGAAGACATTAGGATTGAATTACGCTAGTGCCTTCCAGCACGCCTGGGACATACTGGCAAGACACTGAGGTTTTTTTCTATGCCCCTGCCCTCACCATGCCTATTCTTTAGCTAAATAAAGGGCTTCAGTCTTCAGAACTATCATTCTGGCAACTTTCACCAGCCTTAGAATTCACTTACTTTACAATAACAGAACAAGACAAGTCTTTTTAGATTAACTTGATTGAGGCTGGACAACTAGTGCATGTCAGAAATGCTGTGCTGTTTCATTCAGAAATGTGCAGTATTATTATATGTCTTATGTTTTAATTCCTCCCCACAGATGCAAATTATGGTACCAATTCAGGCAACGTATGCACCACACCTGGATGTGTTACAGCAGGTAATGTTTCTTGCCAGGGAAGCTTGCTGTAGAGGGAAACGGAAGCACCAGTCTGGCTCCATTAATAATGCTAGCATTGTCTAAGGTTTGTTTCAGTCCTGAGTGGTATTTTAAAAGCACAGAAGAAATTTAGAATCGTGAGGTCCCAGTGATTTTCAGTGGGGCTTTAAAACACAAGTGCATGTTATAGGACTTGAATATATTTGCGTTCTTTGAGAAATGGATTAAAAATTGGTCAATCCTCTTGTGCCTTAATTGTATCTGACAAGTCAGGTAAGCAAATATTTGTTCAGAGTAATTTTAAATAATACAAGAAAAAACATAAAAGGGAAAAAGATAGTTTTCTGGGAACACCCCTGTATATCTCTATGTATTTCCATACAGTTCTCCAATTTCTGTTGAATACAGGACTGTTTGCAAATGTGGAGCAATAGTAAATTATGCAAGAGAACTTTGTGTTGTGGATTAGAAACCAGATCTGCTGTATGGCTTAGAAAATAACATTTACCAAAGATGGCTGCATAACTTAAGCATTCAAGATTTCAAACAGGGATCACTGAACATAAACTTACTCATACTAATACACATTGGCAGAAAAAAAATGTTAGCATAATACCCAAGTAGCTCGTTTTCACCAAATAAGTCTAATTACTTTGATATTTAAGATTATTCTGCATAGTCAATGTAACTAAAATGAAATTCACATCTTAGCTTGGCTTTAATCAAATGTTGTGAAAGTTGATGTTACTTGCCAAAGTTCTTTATAAAAGTCTGGATATTTTTCAAAGGCCATTATTGTACAATGGACTTACGTCATGGTTACAAGAAATAATCATTAAATGTACTTTTCACAGAGATTCAGTAATAAAGTGGTCATTAAATCAAGCAGTTTTTTAGTCTATCCTTATTAATGCAAGTGGAATCTGCAAAAAGTTAGAATGATGTAACTTTTGGGAAAAAGGAATAATAACTACAGAATAAGTAAACACATGCAGATACTTGTAATAACATCCACAGAAAATTGGGGCATTCCACTCAATTTGGAACAAAGTTAGACAAAAGTGACACACTATATTAACAATAAACGGCAAAATACTCTTTTTCAAGATCTGAGAGAAACAATGAGAGTTTTACTCAATAGTTAAAGAAGAAGACTATTACTGGACTCAAGAGATCTGGGTTCTATCCCTACCTTTGAGACTGGCCTACAGTGAAACCTTGGTAAATCATTTAATTTCTATGTCTTGATTTCCCACCACGAAATCATTGCACTTTTGTGCTGTGGTGTGAGATCTGCAGACAAGCCCTATATAACAGCTACACCATGCTAGTATAGTGTTATATTATAGCACAGTGTCGGTAGCAAAGGAAAATGGCAAGGATGGCTTCTTGGCTTTAGCTTAAGGCAGGGAGCTGCAGGCCAAGTGATTTCAACTACAGGCAGTCTTCGGACTTACGACACAATTAGTTCCTGAAAATCCTTGGGTACTTTCTTTAAGAAAGCAGATAAGACTCCAGAAAAACCTGCAGCCAAGACTCCTGAGAAGACTCTAGCCACAAACCCTTCAAAAAGTCCAACCAAGAGCCTTTCAAAAAGTCCATCAAAGTCTCCTCAAAGAAGTCCTTCCAAATCAATATGATTGCTATTTACAATATAAATACATTAATGTAGCTATATTACTCATCTATAATTGATTGAGTACAAAATTCTGGGATATTTTTGGTGAGTTCTCCAGGGAGATGAGTGACGCAGCGAACTTGTTCGCTGGCGTGGCATCGCATCGGATCAAGCATTATAAAGTCTAAACTGATATCATAAAGTTGAAACAGGGTGTCAATTTATTAACGTTGTAAGTATAAAATGTAACTCAAAATGTTGTAAGTCGAGGACTGCCTGTACCTAAGAAAAGGCACAACAATCCCCTCCAAAGACCTTGCTTGTAATTCTGATTGTTGTTCATAAGGACTTGACTTTGCATTGTCATCAAGGGTGGTTCTTTGGAACCACTCAGAGGAGTTTTGTGGTGGTGTTTGCTGCTGCACATTGTGCAGGCAAGACCATCTAAATCTCCATTTTTGCAGTTGCTTTTGTCCATTGCTTCTTTTCCTCTGCCTTGTGGACCCAGTCCCATGACACTAGGATCTCATCCCAAATGAGAGACATGTGCAAGATCTGTTCGGCAGGCCACCTTCTTGGTAATTTGGGAGAATTTTTGAGTTTTACATGCAGCTTGAAACATCCTGTGGAAATCACCTCTATGGTTTTGTGCATCATAGCTGCTAGGATAATTCAGAACATGGACCCAACCACTGAGCCTTGCAACAACTTCTACCAGTATGCCTGTGGGGGCTGGCTAAACCGGCACGTCATCCCAGAAACCAGCTCAAGATACAGCATTTTTGACATCCTGAGGGATGAACTGGAGATCATCCTGAAAGGTAAAACTGGGAGGGGCATTAAAACATGTACATGAAACGTCAAGACATGGCATCAGGACTTGAGCCCAATAATGATGTTGATACCCAACATTATTCCCTGAACTCCAAAACAATGGGCCTTATTATTAAAAAGATAAAGAAAGACGTTTGGGAGATAAGTCCAGGCACAACTTCCACAGAACAAACTAGATCCTCCTTTAGGAGCCAGCAGCGTATCTTTAAAGTGTATAGATTTATATCAGCTGAGGTTCTAGCTTACTGTATGCGTCTTCAAGCAATGACGACACTTGAAATTTTGTTTGGTACAGCAGAGGCAGCGAGGGGGTGCCATTTAATACAGAAGTATTTACACTATCAAAAAAAATTATGGCAGCAGCTCATTTCAAAAGGCAGTATTTATTGGCACTGGTGTTGATCATTTGGATTAACATAGCACCTAAAAGCCCCAGTCATAGCTCATGCCCCACTGTGGTAAGTGCTGGTCCGGCATACAGCCAAAAGCATGCCCCTGACTGTAAGGACTCATAATCCAAGCTGCATTCACTCTGGAGAGGTTTATCAGTGTAGGTATACCAGCAAGCTTGTTCTGGACAGAGCTGCAGGCAGTGCTAAACTTCAGCTGGCAATGGATGTGTTGGTGTTTTCACACTGTAACTTAAGGAGACTCTTCAGTAGCCATAATCTTTTTTTTTTTAAGGCAAAGTTGGCACGTACCTTTACTTTGTAGAGCAGTGGATGAGACAAAGCCAGCTTTTGTTGACAGTTACCACACTGCAATATTTGACATACCGCATATTTTCTTTCTCCTTGGTTATGTTGGTCTTAATAGCCACTGGCTGTTTACTTTGGAATGGCATCTGCTGCACATAAGGCATTAGCAGGAGCTGAAGTGACATACAACAAATGACGTTCCAGGCCCGTAAGGTTTCCGATCTCTTCTGTAGTCTTTCCTCCTCCCACTCTTCAGTAAAACGCCACCACAGCATGGCTGTGTTCCCAAAGAAGTCAGCTAAGTTTTGCCATAATCTATAATTGGAGTCAGGAAAATCTCTGTATTTTTATGTCCATCCTTCACCTTTCACTCCTAACCAGTAGTACAACACTCTGGTTTCATGGTAAATGGTCCTTACATCCCTTCATTCTCACTGATTCATGTGATGATAGCTGATAACAAACCTACTCAGGACAAGGTCTTACTGCAGTGATTCCTGTCCTAGGTGTGCTGGAGACTCCAGAGCAGGAGGATCGAGAGGCTTTTCAGAAAGCAAAGACACTTTACAAATCCTGCATGAATGAGAGTGAGTATCCTCTTGTTCTACTGTTGTTCTTCTGGGGACAAACCTATATCGCCAGGCCAGTCTGTATCTCCCTGGCAGGGCCTCCCCTGGAAAGCCAGCCTTTCTCCAAGTAGATGATTTTTATAAGTGACACACTGAGTAATTAAACTATTGTCACTTAGCAACCCTGAGTGGGATTTTTTTTTCAGTTAAGCTTGTCTAGCTTTTGCAATAGTTTTGAAAATTGCTCATTTCACTAAGTCTTTAAGAACTGAGCTCCCAGAGACTATTTGCCATTGCAAGCCCATGAAAATTAAGCTTGTCAGGCTGCTTACAGATGTGAAGGAAAAACAAAATCAGAGCTTTAATTTCAGCCTGGTGCATCCCTATGCTGAGCGCAGCACACGTCCAAAAGAGGCATTGCGTCAATTTGACCTGACTTGCCCAATGTCTGTAAAGAGCGCATGCTTCATCTATTAGATAAAAGCACTACACAAAAGTTAGGCGAGCCAAGTCAAACTGATGTGCTTTCTCTTCCAGTAAAGCACTGTTTATTTTTTTCCACATCTGTTAGTGCCCTCAGTGTCTCAATAGTTCCTAGGAAGTCTAGTGGATTTTCATTCACAGATAATGGATGCTGGAGATAGTTTGGGAGTTTTAACACTGCAAGTGGATTTAAAATACACTTGCTACATACAACATGTTAGGAACAACATGCATATGTCTGTAACTACAAAACTGATAAAATATGGTAAAGCAAGAGCTGAAAGCACTAGTTTTCAAAATGTTACCGCGTTATTATTGATATTTATTTTTTATATTCCAGTAGTACCTACAAATCTTAATTAGGGATTGGACCTAGTGCTGTAAGCATGAATGGAAAATCTACCCTCCTATAAACAGTTGATCATCAGCCCTATATAATTTTAAAGAACTCTTTTCCATAGATGAGAAGTTACTGTCTGAGTAAAAGAACCTCTAGCTTTATTTGGGACCTTCACTGCACATTATATTGCTGTGCATAGGTCTGGTGCAAAATCTCCTATACCAATGGTGCATAACCTTTTTCCCTGGCAGGCTGGATGGGCAGTGCCTGGTCCCTTGATGGGCCGGATCCAGCCCATGGCTTTGATCCGGTGCCTGGGGTGGGGGCAGTGGGACCCCATAAGCTGTGTAGAGGGGACCTGATTCAGCACTGCAGGGAAAGAGGGTCTGGGTTGGCCCCAACCTGGGCCTGTGGGGGGAAAAAGGAATCACCCAGCCCCAATTCAGTTGCAGAGGGGCAAGAGGAACAGCCTAGCCCTGATTCAGTTGCACAGGTAGAAGGGGGCATGGCTCATCCCTGATCCAACTGTGCAAGGAGAATGGGGCCTGGTCTGGCCCCATCTGGCTGTGTGGGGGGAGGCGGCATGGGAATTTGGCAGCAGGGCCAGGTGGTGGTATTAATGGCCACTGCTCCCTGCAGTGCCAAATGTCCTGACCTGCAGAGAGCCCAGTGGGCCAAATGCTGTGGCTTCACAGGCCTCCTTTGGCCCACGGACCAGAGATTGAGCTCCTCTGTCCTATAACAATTCATAAACCTCAGATGTTGAGGTGAGTTTCATACCTCCTTCCCTGCTAACAGCTACTACAGAAACTAACTGGTTTGCAGGGAAATCATTAGTTTCACAAATCACAATAGGCAAAAGTCTTCAATGCAAAGACTGTAACTGTAAAAGGGAACACTCTGGCCACCTCTCCTGACTTTTTGTATAACACAAGGCCTAGGGCTTCCCTGAATTAACCCTTGTTTGAATGAGAGTATATGTTTTTTTAAAAATCTGGCTTGAAAACTTACCAGCGTAATGGAGAATCCAGCTCAGCTTTTGGTAAATGATTTCAATTTGGCTTGGAGAGTGTGCAAATCCCAGAATGAGTCACAAAACATCAAAAGTAATACCCTTGCTCAGTTTTGCAAACAGAAATTTCTGAGTACTTGAAGGGTAGAATTATTACACCGAGGAACACAACAATGACACCTCTGCATGCAGCCTCATCCAACCTGACAGCAGACCACCTTTTCTTTCTCTTCTGTAAGAGATTCAGTTGCATAATTCAATTCATCATGAATTTTAACCTTCTTTTAAAAATGTCTTTGCTGCTGCTTCTTCAGGCCTCATAGAGCAACGAGATTCATTGCCCTTGTTAGAGGTCCTAGCTATGATTGGAGACTGGCCAGTGGCTTCTGCAGATTGGAATATCACCCATGGTAAGACTCTGTGCTCAAAGAGATTGTAAAAGGGTCTCTGTAGCACAAGGGTAGGATTTTTTTACTTCCTTTGGGAGCTAAGATCACTGAGTTGCATCCCCTAAACAAACAAAAGCCTGGGTACCTCAGCTGGTAATCAGCTTTTCACTCTGAAGGTTCAGGGTTCACATCGCTTGTTAGGTGGCAGGTTCTGTGTGTGGCTAAGGGACAGCCTGTCATGGGAGACCAGACTGGATGCTGTGGCCTTTAAGTGTAAAGGGCTGTGAAATGGACAGAGGAGTCTGGCAGGGCATCTGTGAGTGGAATTGCCCCCACCTGGGTGAGCTGGATCCTTCCCCCTGTATGAACTGCTGCTACCCTCCTGAAAGAGAGGCCTGTGGAGCTGGAAAGGGGAGTCCAGCAGATAATGGGGGGTTTTAAAAGATAAAATGTCACCACGATAAAACCTCAAGGTAAAGGGGCAAATGGAGGGAGAAGCAAAAGTAATTCATTTTTAAAACTACAAGGCTCAACACAGAATAATTGTGCTCCTATATTTGCACATGCAATGATCGCAATTAGCAGATGATTGGTCAGCTAGTTAGGTAATAACATGCTCATTTTTCACAAATTTATAATTGGGGCATGTCAGTATCTGAGTGGCAGGAGCTTTTTAAATGGCTTACAGAAATAGATGTGAAGCTTAGTTCTTCCACAAGGCTTAGCCCTCTCCCCCTCCCCCCCATGTGACCACCAATTAAATTACTGCCACACATCTATCATAAAACAACAGCAAAATCCTGGCCAGAGGTATCATCCAAGTCACCTAAGTGCCTTGAACAGCTGAGGTGTTTTGACTTTTAACCTTGATATGGGAAGGAATTGAGGGTTTCCCCTGCACTTTGCACAGGGCTAATTAAAACTGTCAGTGCCACTATTAGTAAGGATAATTAACAAATACTCGGTGTTCAATTTACAGTTAGAAGCAACCTTTCAGATCACTTTCTCCATGCACTTCCAGCCAGTGCAGGCTGCCCCTTACCAGTATCCCACTTTGCCCAGTCTGATTTTAAATGACCTGAGCACTAAGCTTACAGTACACAGAACTTAATTATGTTTGGTACACATCAATAAATAATGCAGCTTTTCCTTTTCTCTCTCAGAGGCAAACTGGAGCGTGGAAGAAAAACTCTTCATCATGAACTCCAGATATAACAAACGAGTCATCATTGATATGTTTGTTTGGAACGATGACCGGGATTCCAGCCGGCATATCATTTATGTAAGAAAAATGACTGGGAACTACAGATACATAGGTCCAAGGCCATGACCCACCATGGGTAGCTAATTGCATCGCACACAGTTTAGATCAGTTTTCTGTGACTTGTGTTGGTGGGCATCCACAATATGGAGCAAAGTGTATATCAACAGCTCTATAATGGACTGTCCAAATACATACTACTACAGATCTTCAGGCAGCATAAATGGTTCTGACTTTATTGAAGTCTATGGAGTTCTGGCGATTTACGCTAAGGATTGAGCCCCTATCTATAGTACTGCAACTTACACAGCACTGCCATTGTTTAACATATACTGCAGAGAGCCAAATAACACTGATCATAATATAATAGGTATACCATACTAATCTATAATACCTAGCCTAGTAATATTTATTTTTGCACATCAGATCTAGCCCTGGAGAGAGGCACCTTTTTCTCTTGCAGGTTGTAATATTTTGTTCTTTCTGAGGTCACAGTGGTCATTGACCATTGCTCTGTAACCCATAGTAAAACCATGCTCTGTAACCCATGATAAGTAAGCATCTATCCTGCACTAGCTGGAGATTGAGGGCCTCGGGTTTAGTCCTAAACCAAGGTTTGGAGAGAGTAGTTGGTCTTCCATTCAGTCCCAGCTTCTATGGAAAACAGGCTAAAGCTTGCTCCTGGATTGGGTTTACCCCCTCATAAAGTGAGGTCCTCCTTTTTGGGTTACCAGAATGGTGTATGCAGCATTTCACATTATGCTCAAATGACCCTTTCTGGAGAACCACAACCACTGCTTATTCCTAACTAGGCATTACCTACTTAATTTCCTTCAGATTGACCAGCCCAGTTTGGGAATGCCATCGCGAGATTACTACTTTAATGGTGGCAACTACCAAAAAGTAAGTATCTCTGTAACACACACGCTGTATGCTGCTAGAACTTGCCTTTCATTAATCGCTTGCAAGTGATCCCTGCTTTTTCCATTCTGCATATTTCTGAATCTTCATGCTATCCAACAATCAAAATGCATCTGTTTAACTTGTTGACAGAGAATATAAGGAAGGCCAAATATTTAACAAGAAACAAAGATGACTGAACATTTATAGAGTAACAAGGCTATTCAGAGTTGTGAGAGTTCATATAAACAGAAAGAATATGGCAAGGCAGAAAAAGCGTTATGCTCATAGTTTAATCCATCACTAACTTTTAGGGTTTAGGGTGAAAACTTCATGGGCACAGGTTGACCCTATATCTTCCTGCTCTGGGTTTTCTTGTTCCTTCCTATGAAGCATTTGGTGCTGGCAGCTGTCAGAGGTGAGACTCTGGACTAGGAGGACTGCTGGGCCAACACAAAATGATGTGTTCATACTTCTAATCATACAAAACCCTAGATTCATTTTTGATGTAGAAAGGTTTCACAAGCCACTACATCCATGACTGAGTGCATCAGTAGCAGAATCAATGTTTGACAGGGAAAGTGAAAGGGAGATTCATGTTCCCAGTCTTCAGGTGATAAGAATCCTACAGACTGTTATTTTTGCTGTTATTCCCCAAAACTGCATGAAAGTTCAGACAGACAATGTTGAAACTGTTTCCATTTTCTATGACAAATGTATTCACTTTCTCCTCCTCGCTTAGTTTTCCTTTGTAAATGTCTAAGTGAGCAGTTGCAAATGTAAGATTGACAAATTATCTTTAATCCATTTCAGGGCTGAAAATACATAGTTCTTTTTATTTTCTTAATTATCTCATGCTAAATGAGTGCCTTTGCAACTTAGCATTAAATTGAATTTCCTAACGTGAAAGGAGGAAGATCCACACAGACAATAATAAAATATTTCAGACTCTTGCATCTTACAATTTCAGGATCCAATCTAAAACCAACTGACAGCAGTGGAAGCCTTTCCATTGTTTTCCTTGACTTTGGGTTGTGCCTTAAGTAGGATAATTCCAGGGCTGTCTTTTCTGAAATACAGAGCAATGAGATTTTGGTAGAAGCATATATATAGGCCGTCTCATTTCTGCTGTCTTAGTAAATTGTAATTTCTATGAGCAGCTTTCCTGTATGTGATAGCAGTCCAAATGTGTTAGGGGAAGATATTCTATTACCTTTTACAGAATGTGGCCAACTTCTTCTGACATTAGTACATGTTACCAGTTACAGGCATTCTTAAAGAGGCAATGGTATCTCAAGAAGCAAACAGAGACACAAAAAAGCCTCAGGTACCGGATCGGGAGATTTTGTTTTGGAAATGGTATGGGGTGCTTAAGAGTGGACAAGTCAGGTAGTGGCTTGTCTGACAGAAGTGGAGGTGTCACTATGTTTGCTATTATGTTTAGAAGACAGTGTGACTTTTGTGGTGGGCCTGTGGTCGGTCTCAGGCTACAGGGAGGCCAGGGACCAAGTGCAAGGCAAATTTGATCCAAAAATGAATGAACTTAAACAAAAGAGGCATTGAAAAGATATTAACCTCAAGTGTGAAAACTCTTGATTTGGCTAAGGGCATATCTTTAGACTGGCTGAGTAACAATAAGCACCATGGTCACTCAGGGCTATAGAGAATCCCTTTCTGTAAAGCTGTTTCTTTCCACAGCACATTTCCAAAGACTATGGGCTACATCCTGGTATTCTTTACTTAGTTTGTGTTTAGTCTGGCATCAAGCAAAACTCTTTTCATCCCTGGCAGGAGTTTGCCTGAGCTAGGACATTCTGTCCCCCCTACAAATCACCATAATGTAATACAAGTGCCCAAACCAATTTCAGAACAATTAAACTATTGTGTTCAACTAGTTTCTATGTTCCACAAATGAGGAGTCATAGGTAAAAATAATAGGTAGCATTAAGCCTGCCTATATCAAAGAACTGCACTTGACCATCAGCCAAATATGCTTCCAAGGTCCATTTTGGCATATAAATCACCTAGCTTGCACAACCTGTACCTTGCATTAAAAGTGAAACAAGGGCACCACTGGGAATCATCTGTCATTGTGTAAAGCTAGTTACACATGTAACCTTGCAGTAATGGTTCTCAATTCTTGGATTTCCTCTAGTTTTTCATGATGTGACTTCCAAGAAATTGGGGAGAATGAGTAAGAGAAGAGAAAGAAGAAGTTTCTTTCCAGCAATATCCCTGAGGGCATCAGGTTTCTGGATTTGAGGAGCCCTCAAACCTTAAAAACTTTGATACTTTGGTTCTGAGGAGATGCTATTTCCTCCAGCTCAGTTCAAATCAAGGAGTCTTTGCTACTTCTTCACTTATTCATTTAGAAACAATGAAAGGAAAGAGTCCCCTGGTTGCAAGCTCTAAACTGCATCTCTAAAGAGACTGGGCTGCAAAGTTTTGATTTAGGACCAAACATTGCCAATGTTCAGAATAGTTATGAATCAGATCCAGGGTAAGTTTTAGAAAAATACACATGAATTCTTGTTAGATTTTTATTTAGGCCCGTGGTTCATTTCCAGCACACCTGCCATGCTCCTGAATACATAGTCTTAAATTCCCTCAACAAGACACACCGCAGTACACTGCTTACCTAAACCCCTGCTATAGGCTGAAGTGCTGGACAAAATCACCCTGAATCACATAGGCCACCATACAAAGTTTCTGTCCTTTATGTCTCTAGGTACGGGAAGCCTACCTACAGTTCATGATCACCATTGCCAAAATGATCAGAGACGATAAAAACATGTCTAAAGACGACAGCTTTGTCCAAGAGGAAATGGTAAAGGTGATGGAGTTTGAAACAGAGATCGCGAATGTGAGTATAGGAGACCCACAGGTGTGGAGAAACCTCTCAGCTACATGGCTGGGAGTGGGGGAGGGACTGCGCTCAGGATTTGGGGTGAGGGAAATATTTTCCCCTAAGCGAGTCTGGTGAGGGCCATTGGGATGTTTTACTTTCCTCTATAGCACATCGTGATACTGAAATAATCATAAGCAATACCATAGCAAGGGGTGGGTGGGTGAGCAGGGTGACCACCCCAGCCGCCAAAGTGAAGGGGCACCAATAAGCACTGCACAGCCACGGTGGGGCACGGGACAGAACTACAAGCAGCTTGTTTGGGGGGGCGCAGGGATGGGGGAAGGGTGGCTCCCACTGCTGCATGAACTCCCGGGCAAGCATTGGGGGGCACATCCCCCCCCCGACCTGTGCATGGGGCAAGGACGGGCTGCCACTGCAGGCTTTGCCCTGGGCGCCAAACTTAATTGCTATGGCCTTGGTCATACGAACTTTCTTGAGTTATCCAGCAGGCTGTTGACTGATACGCTGAAATGCAGAAAACAGTGTTGGTCTTTATAAAATAAGTTTCCTTCTCCAAAAAACAGACTTTAAAGAGCTCTTTCACACGTGTGCATGCACACACGCATACATGTGATTCCAGCTGATGAAACTCAACAGTCAGTTCTGAGAACTTTGTGTATGTCTTTAGGCAACTGCTCCTGCAGAAGAAAGGCATGATGTGACCCTGTTGTACAACAAAATGACCCTAAAGCAGCTACAGGAAAAGTTTGCCTTGAAGGTAGGTGTCTTGATGAGTCCCATTGCTTCCAGCTCCTCCTATGGTTTGGTCAAGAGAAAATTATGCTGAAAATATTTTTGTTTTGAACAACAAAAGGGATTCATGGTCATTTTTGTTCTTAATAGAAAGCTAAGGGAATTGGGAAGGTATTTTCCTATGGAACAAAGCTACAACTGAAGCATTTGCCAGGCCTTAAATCTTTGCACCAGGCAGCAAAAAAAAAATGTGAGTTCATGTCCAGAAAAAATGCTTTAAAGTTCTTGACTTCTGTGCACAGAAGAAATAGGTGAACCACATACTCTGTTCAGAGCTGGAGTGGTTCCTTTGGGCAAGCTTCACATTACCTTTTCTTGCACCAAATTAATTGCATCAAAATCACTGAAGAAGTTTACCAAAGCCACAACCAGTTATGGCTGCAGACTAAAACCACGGCCAACTCTTCCAAGATTGCAGTGGTATCCATGCTGCCCAGAGTCTTGACCTTGTGCTTTTCAGTGGAAAACCTTTGAACTACACCTTGCCTAGATGTTTGCCACTCACAAAACTATGAATCAAATTATAACGAATCCCCACCTATATTACAACTTGCAATGCTTTAACTTGGTAAGTCAAGACAGCAGAAAATCTAACTGAATGCCCATGCTTCCCCGCAGGCTAGATTCTCCTCTGGATTCAGTAGGCACGCAAGTAATATATCTAGCTATTGAGGAATAACCCAGTAGCAATTCTAGCAACGTGTAGAGGGGGAAAGAGTGCTGGTTCTTTCACTGTTGTTACTAGACCAAATCTGAAGGGAATCCGAAGTGCAGGAAAAACTTTAATGTTAGCGTTTTTCCCAAAGGGCAGGGATTACTCCCATATACGGTTATTTTAAAAGGAGGAAGAGTTATATCACAATGTTAGAATTCCAGATCCTGAGACAGGGAAAACATGAGGTCAGAAAAATTAAGATGGCAGATTTCAAAAAGGCAGATTTCATCTGACTCAAGGAGCTAACAGGCAGGGTATCATGGGAGGATAGATTGAAGGATAAAGGTGCCCAAGAGGGCTGGGAGCTTCTAAGGAGCAGAGTATTCAAAGCCCAACAAGAAACTGTCCCAACACGATGGAAGCAGAAGAAGAATGGGAAGAGACCAATGTGGCTGCATTAGGAGCTCCTAAAAATGCCTCAAATGCAAAAGGAAAGCATACAGGCAATGGAAGAATGGGTAGGTCACAAAACCAGGAAGGCAAAGATAAAGAGTGAGCTGCACCTGGCAAAAGAGGTTAAGGACAACAAAAAGAGGCTCTATAAGTATACCAGCCAGAAAAGAAGCACCAAGGAAACTGTGCATCTGCTGTTAACAAGCTGGGGGAACTCCTAACCCAAGATACAAGGAAGGCATAGCTAATCAATGGCTACTTTATCTCAGTCTTTACAAAAAATTAAGCTGCCAGCCACTTAATAGAAATTATCTGGATAAGGAAGGGGGCAAGCTGAGGGAAGAGGTAACAAAAGAGATGGTCAAAGAGCTTTTGTTGGGTCTGAATTAATTCAAGTCAGTAGGGCCGAATGAACTTTATCCCAGGGTCCTGAAAGAACTAGCAGAGGAGATCTCAGAGCCCTTGGCAATGATCTTCATGAAGTCTTGGGAGACCAGCCAGGTACCAGAGGACTGGAAATGGGCCAATGTAGTGCCCCTTTTTTAAAAAGGCAAGAGGAGGACCTGGGGAACTACAGACCAGTTAGACTCACCTCAGTACCTGGGAAATTACTGGACCATATGGATTTTAATGGATTTAGTTGGTGTAACACTCTAGAAAGAGTTTTATGTTTTGGGTTAAAAATGGCTCATTTATTTCAATTTAGCTCAAGTGTCCTTGTAAATATCTTAAGCAAAAGTAGCATAACCTAAGTTTATATTGATTTGAAAGGGTCCTATAGCCTCTTTCACCTATTAAATTAAGTAAATGATAAAGAACCCAATATGTTAAAACTTGTGTGTAAACAAACTCAGTCTGCATAACTCTACAGTGGCCAGATTCTCCTCTTAGCTACTGGTGCAAATCTAAAGTAAAAATTGTCTTCATTAGAATTACACCAGATATGCATCAAGTTACAGCAAGGGAAGCTCAAGTCGCAGGAAGGGAAGTTTAGGATAGATATTAGAAAAAAACTCTCTCAAGCACTGGAACAGGTTACCCTGGATGCATCTACGTGTGTTATTAATACACAGAAAGGGTACTGTGCAGTAAAAAATGTGCAGTAAACTGTGCCTCAGAAAGGATCTACACATGCACTAGCTTAGAAGCCAATTTGCTCCCAACTGAAGCAGTTGAGACCAGGGCTGTTCCTGCCCCCCTGCCCTGCTCAGCCCCACTGCAGCAGCAAAGGGGAGCTCCAGGCTTCCCTGGGTGCCATCCCAGACTGGCAGAGGGCATGGGGCTGCTTCCGATCCCCATGTGTGGGGGGAAAGTGGTCCCAACAGCCAGCACTGCTGCATCCCAGCCATGTGGGGATCAGACCCAATTCCCATGTGGCCAGAAGAGGTTTTCATGCTCAGCAGGGATGCTGCCTGGCAGCCATGTGGGGGTTGAGAAAGGCATCACTGCCTGGGGAGGCATGCTGCCCGGCAGCCATGATCAGGAGAGTTAAATTGAAGGCTGCCCCTCCTCCTCTGGGGCAGGGAGGCCTCTCCCCACCATGTGAGGATCGGGTCCCAACCTAATCTCCACCTGGCTAGGATGCAGTGGTCCTGGCTGCTGGGACAGCTCTCTCGCCCATGTGGAGATGTGGATGGTACCGATGCCCATGTGGCAGGGAGATGGCCACCCTTACAGCTGGCACAGTTCCCCACCACATCAGGGCTTAGCCAGGTGGCAGTGGGCCCTCTGATGACTGGGCTAACCCAGAGCATATTTCTGCTTGTCAGCACCTATTTGTGCTTACTGCACATTAGCTAGTACACAGTAAATCTACCACCTGTAAATAAAGATGGTAGATTTACTGTGCATTTGCCTGTTTTACTTAGCGATAGCTCAGCACAAGGTTACCTATTGGGCATGTCTACACATGCATTAATGCTGATTTAAATTTACTGCACAGTAAATTACTGCACAGTAAGCAGGAATAGGTTAGTCCCAAATCAGTCCACACATACAGTGTTATAGTATAGTAAGGCATCTACATGTGCATTACTGTGCAGTAACTAATCGGGCATAAATTTGATATCTGCATCATGTATGTATCAATTTTTTGCTCAAGTCAGCATAAATTGCCATATTTGCTGTGCAGTACAGTCATGCACATGGAGATGCATGCCTGTACTGTGCAGTAATTTTGATTACTGCAGGGGGTTGGACTAGATGACCTGAGGTCCTGTCCAACCTTAATTTTCTAGGATTCTATATCCTAAGGAAGCCCATTCACAAGCATCTGGAGGAGGAAAGGCTGATCACAAGTAGCCAGCATGAATTTATGAAAAACAAATTGGGTAAAACAAACCTGATCTGTTTCTTTGACAAAGTAACTATTGGGGTGGATGAAGGGAAGGCTATGGATGTAGTCTATCTCAGGGGTTCTTAACCTTTTTTGTGCCATGGACCCCTTTGGCAGTCTGGTGAAGCCAATGGACCTTGTAGCAGGGCACTAGGGTGCCTGCTACTAAGAACAAGAATACAGGCTCAGCTGCCACTCACCAGGGGCAGCACAGGTGGGTTGCCAAGGCAACTGATTGGGTCAGCTGACCAGAAGGGAGCAGGGCCTGGCCTACATAAACAGAGAAGGCCGAGGCCAGAGTCAGGTCCGCTCTGGCAGCCTAAGGAGCAAGAGCTCTGTGAGAGCAAGCAGGGCAGCGTTGGCGTGCGGATACAGGGTGGAGAGGACCCTGACAGGGATATGAGAGAAGATTAGCCAGGTTGGCCTAAGATTTATGTTGTATCCAAGGGGCTTTGAGTGTCTGGAGTTGATAGTTGTAATTATGACCCGGAGGACTGGGTGAGGCTGTAGGGGTGGAGGAGGCCTTATTAGGAGCTCCCCAGTAAGGTGGGGGTGTTCCTAGTGCCGCAGGAGGCGCTGTGTTTTGGGGTGTCCTGACCCCAGCCCAGTGTAGGCGGCTTCGGGAAGAGCTCAGTGTTGTGCGCAGGCAGAAGCCCCAGTGGGGCATTGGCCTGAGGAGGCGGGTCTGGGGGCCAGGTGAGGCTGCCTGAGCCCCAATCGTGAGAAGCCCAGTGGGCGTAGGACCCTAGGAGGGGTCTGGGGCCAGATAAGGCCAAGGCCGCCTGAGCCCCGATTACGAGGAGCGTGAGAAGCGCGAACATAGGCCCCAGTGCGGACGAGAAGCACGAGCAAGGCCCCAGCGAGGGCGAGGAGCGCGAGAAGCGCAAGCAAGGGCCCCAGTGCAGGCAGAGAGCACGAGAAGTGCAAGGCACAGGCCCCGGTGGGGGCAAGAGTGTGGGGAGAAGCCAAGGAGAAGGCGGTAGTAGGACTTACGGGTAGCCCCTAATGCTAGAGTGCACTGGGAAACTGGACATCAAGGCCCTGTGCCAAGGAGGGCAGGAAGGCAGCCTCCCATTAATAATATAACAACAAGACGTGGCGGGTGAGATAGAGGGTGCATTCAAGACCCAAGTTGGCACGGTAGGTAGGGGCGCTAGGGGAGGTCACAGCACCCCTGGGAGCGTCCTGCCACAGACCCCTTCTCAGAATAATGTTTTTAAATGCATAAAATAAAATACATAGGATTACAAAGGAAACCAATTATATTGAAATACAGTCATCAAAATACATTCATTTTGCCTACATTCATAATTGAAGGAAATGCTAAATTTCAGTTAGAGGTTAGTGAAAACAAAGATGTAATTTTTTTCCCATCCAAGTTCATGGACCCCCTGAAATCTATCCACAGACCCCTTGGGGGTCTGTGGACCCCAGGTTAAGAACCCCTGGATCTGAATGTCAGCAAGGCTTTTCATAAGGTCCCACACAACCTTCTCATAAACAAAATGGAGTAATGTGGGCTAGATAAAACTACTATGGGATAGATAGATAACTGACTTGATAGCCATAAACAAAAGGTAATTATTAACGGGTCCATACCAGAATGGCAGGAGGTTTCAAGTGGAGTCAAACAGGGGTATGTCCTGGGTCCAGTGCTGTTCAATGTGTTTATTAATTAATTGGATGCTGACATAGCTTCTTAAGCAAGTTTGTGGATGACATGGAACTAGCAAAGATTATAAACACATTGGAAAAGATGAGTGCAATTCAAAAGGATCTTGACTGATTGGGAAGTTGGGCTAGAGCTAACAGGATGAAGCTCAATGCCTACCAATTCAAGGTGGAATAATAAACACAAAAATAAAATGGGGGACACCTGGCTGGATCTATGGAAAAGGAGTTTGGAGTCTTGGTAGATCACAGACTCATATTGAGTCTGCAGTGTGATACAGCCACACAAAAGGCCAATGCAGTTTTGGGCTGCATCAATAGAAGCATTATATGATAGTGTCTCTCTTCTCAGCACTGGTTAGGCCTCATCTCGAGTATTGTGTGGAGTTCTGGCCTCCACATTTTAAAAAGGACATGGAGAATTTAGAGAGGGTCCAGAGGCAGGCAACAAAGGTGATAAAGGGCTTGGCAGGCAAGTCATATGAGGAGAGGCTGAAGGAGCCAGGCATGTTCAGCTTGTGGAAAAGGCACTTAAGAGGGGACATGAAGGGCTACCATAAAGAAGAGGAAAAAAACCTTTTCCCTCTTGCTGCAGAGAAGAGGGTGTGGACCAATGGCTTGAAGTTACAGCAAAGGAAATTTAGATTGGATATCCAGAAAAACTTCTCCACTGTGTGAATAGTGAGGCAGTGGAATAGACCACTTAATGAAGTTGTGGACTCTCCATCACTGCAGATGTTCAAGAAAAGGTTGGACAGTCACTGGTCAGGGATGATCTAAGCACAGCTATGCCTATTTTCTACCATGGGTATTTTCCATGCTTCTCAGCTTTGCTGGTTGTGCCCCCCCACCACCACCTTTTTTTGCTGTATGTGTCAGGGTGTTTTTTAAGCCTCCCCAGAAGCACTGGGTGTTGGCTACAGCTGAGTCTGGTGACTTCAGCTGGGGTGTTCCTGGCTAGAGGGTCTCTCGCCTCCACTTAAACTTTGTGTCCAAAGGTTATGTGGCAAGCTTGTGTCAAAGGTTATGAACTTGTTTTGGATGCCATCTGTGAGGCACGGGACATGGTGTAGGGACTGTGGATAGCGCCCCCTGGCATGGGGGCATTAAAATGGACAGCCTCCTGCATTTTACACCAGTTTAAGGAATAATAAGTCATGGCAGGCGAGACTGGGTGGACTGCCTGACACAGACAGGGGGCAGGCCAAGGTTGAGACATGGCCCCAAGTTGGCCTGTTACAGGCAACATTTTATAGAAACAGGACATTGACTGTTGTTGTTTCCCTGCTTTACCTGTAGTAGGTTAGGGTGTTAGGTTCACGTTGTGTCAGGATGGAGAGTAGTCTTATATAGAGTTTAGATGGTGGTTGTATGGGATGGCTAGGATAGGGATGATCTTGCCCACACTATGGGTTGTCAGTGTTAAAAACTATTTTTTATATGCCACATTTAATATGAGATTATCCCAGCCACAGGGTTTGAAGAGCCCCCTCTGGCAGCCAATTCCGTATCTGGCTCTTGTTTTAAAAAAGCCAACACTGTGCAGGCAAAAATAAGAAAAAATTGTCTAATCACAGTTTAGTTGACAATTTGAGATCCAGACTGAGGAGCAAGTAAGTCCAGTGGGTAGAGTAAGTAGACTAGAAGCCTTCTCATATTGCCATTTCTGGTTGGCTCAGAGCTCATGCCACAGAAGAAATGTGACTATAATATCAGGGCCTGGGGAGGTATCTTCATGAGATACTAAAGGAATAGATGTGCTGGGGTTATTTCTAAGTGGTACTGCTCTGTAGGATGAATCTCAGAAATGCTGGCCCTCATCTCCCCCATGAATGTGAAACTAAAAGCCATAGGTCCTACAGGTTTTCTCTTGAGTTCACAATGCCTGGAAAAAATGCTCACTTTCTGAACCAGGAGATAACTTCACATGTCATCCTCCTCCCCTGTGCCAAGTATGAACTCTATCTACCTTTCAGGGCTGCTCCTTGTATTCAGTCAACCAGCAGAGTGTACACAGGTGCAGCCCCTGCCCTTTAATTGAATAGCATCACTGATCTCATTTTATAAGTCTCCTGAGGAAAGGACCCCCACCCCCAGCTCCAGCAAAGCTTGATGGCTCTGGTTATGAAAAGGAATCAGCACAGCTAAAGAGATGCAGAGATAAGTTCCATGCTTATAATGTATTTTAAAAATCTGTGCTCATAAATCTGCAATAAAACTTGACAGGGCCTTTGCTCTCTGTACCATGGGTACACAAGACACTTTCTGTTCCCTACAACCAACATAACTGAGGACTGTGTAGAAACATAATGCAAGTTAGATACACAGCCTACATCAAATTACTCCAATCAAATTGTGGCCAAAGGAGGGGGTGGCCACCACCAAGTTCTGGAGATAATGCAACCAAAAATCAAAGCAATCAACAAAAAGCGGAGCTCCCCGAGAAGTTTATTGTATGATGTCCCCACAGCAGTCAGTCTTTCGGTGTGGTTGGACCAAGGACTTCTATAGGCAGCTGTCGCTCTCCTCTACTGAATAGACCCCACTGCCAGTACTGAGGAGTCCACAGGGAAAGGAGATGCGAGTCTGGCACAGCGAGTATAAAGCAATCCTCAGAACTGAGCAATGTGTCTATCTCCCTCTGCTACAGGACTTTAACTGGGCCCTCTTCATCCAAGGTGTCATGTCTTCAGTAAATGTTCAGGTCCACCCCGAGGAGGAGGTGGTTGTGTATGGAATGCCCTATCTGCAGGAGCTCAAAGCAATTCTCTCCAAGTACTCAGCAAGGTAAAGGCAGTGGGGAAAAAGCTGCATCTAAGACGGGGAGGGGAGGGATGACAGTCCAGGAGGGGTCCAGTACTCTGAAGGGGAAAAGTAGAGAGCTGGGCTTTGTTCACAGGATCTCTGGGTAAACTCATGTCATGTCTCTGGGTCCTTTACTCTATAATGCAGGGGCAAGGCTCCCTTCCTGCACAGGGATGGTGGAAAGCAGAACTTTTCAGTGTCTGGGAAGGTCTCCTGCCTGACTGGGAAAAAACCTCAAGGGAATGATGTGGGGTTCAGCCCCCATTACACTGAGAAGAGACGTAGGAAGAAACTGGAAGTTAAGCTCCTAAAGCAGGCCTGGAACTGAGGCCTGAGGAGTGCTGCCAATGCACGTAAGGGCTCCTCATGTGCATTTGTGCACTCTAGATGCTTCTGCAATTAACCAACTGGTCCACCCTTAAACACAAGTAGTGCCACAGCTCCTGCAAGGTGTCATGAGGAACATGACAGGTGTTTAGCTGCTATTGCTGACTCTGTTGCCCCTACTCCAAAGCACGCTTTCCTTTCGACTGACCTATCTGCTGCCAAACACTAAATGCTTTATTTTGTTCTTGCACATAGAACCATCCAGAACTACCTGGTTTGGCGACTGGTGATTGACCGGGTCAGCAGCCTGAGTCGGCGTTTTAAGGATGCTCGTGCCAACTATAGAAAGGTACCACCCCCAGCCCAGCACTGATATAGGGCTGTAAGGAAACGGCTGAGTTATGGCCCCGTCCCTCATTACCACAGGCAGCCATGCAATACAAACCCTTTCACAAGCCTATCCTTCTGCAGTAGTGGTCAAGAACTCATTAGGACCAGGAGCCCACAGGTCTTGACCAAGGGTAGCTGTCCCAGAGCTCTGCCTAATGAATTTTAACCAAGTAGACATGCAAACCTCTGCTAAGAAGAAAAGACTGGCTTGAAATCTAGGGTGTAGATGCAGGGCCACACAGTGTGGCTAGGGTAGCGAAATAGCTAGGGCAAGCCTTAGCTCTATTAGGAAGTGACTCTTGCATCCCTTTGGGACCTACATACAAGAACGTGCCAACATATTTGGAGCCTTTCAGAAGCATTCAGCACACCATTGGGAAGGTCCTAGTCAGTCCAACCCTTGTCAGCCCCGCAGCTGAGCCTTTCTGTCCACTTATCCTCCAAACTACCTGACATTCACCCAGGACTAGTGACAACTGTTTTGCTAGATCATATGCTTGGATCACCGCTGTGGAACATACAAGGTCAGAAGCTGCCCCGAGGTGCCTTCATCCTCCCTGTGTCAGGCTGCTAGTGTGGCTATGAGTAGGGGTAGGTGTCCGTGCTTAAAAACCAAGGAGATGGGCACTCCAAAACTGCTTTAGACAGAAGGACAGACTGAACTCTACCTATATAACGTCCCCACAGTTGCTGGACCTTGTACATAAGTGATGAATGTAAGGAAGACCAGAAATTAAAAAAAAAATAGTTGAGAGAGGACAGAAGCAGAGCAAATGAAGATCTTTTTCCTGGATCAGCCTTTCTGTCTTCTGTTAGCTTGGTATGGGGGCTGGGGGGCAGTGAAGATATATAGGAAGAATTGAGCTCACTGCTTTCATTTCCCAGGCACTTTATGGGACAACATTGGAAGAGGCCCGTTGGCGAGAATGTGTGAGTTATGTCAACAGTAACATGGAGAACGCAGTGGGAGCTCTGTATGTCAGGGAAACATTTGCTGGTGAGAGCAAGAGGATGGTAGGTAATCAAAGTAATTATCCTTCATGCTGAATATCCTTCATGCTATTGTAAGTCCATAGCACCTGGGGCTTCCTTTCCTACCCCAGGTTTAATATCTCTGCCAAAGATATACATAGTACAGGGCTTAAAAGAACTTGTGGGGCAGTTTGAATAGAAGAAGGATGTTTCATCTGCTGTTTCAAAGGCAGAGGAATGTCGACTCTTGGCAGTCTTTTTAACTAGAACAGGTGGGAAGAAGCTCAAATTTTGCAGTATTGTTCAGGGAAAGCCAATACCTGCCTTTTTTTCAGTGCATTTCCCCCTCCCCCACCCCCCAGATGCATTCTTGCCACTTCCTTAAGGCTTAAAGAGTTAGAAATCCAGCTTCCAATAAGCCTCCCTTAATTGTGCCATCTGAATGGCAACTAGGTGGAGCTGAAGTTGATCCAGGGAGGTGACAGATTCTGTGTGTTGAAACTTGAACTGTCTTGTCACCAAAAACAATTAATATCCATTTTGCTTCACCACATTGGATGAGCAAGCAGTCTGGACACAGGGGGGAAAAAAACAAAAGGAAAAAACTCCAAGCTGAAATCATCAGTGTCAATATCAGTATCACCTAGGCAAAGCTGAACCAAGCTGATGCTGATGGATCCTAGCTTTTGGAGATTGGTCTGATTACCTATGTAGGCAAGAATAAAAAACTGAAATTCCCCTAGTGAAACTATTGGTGGTGATTGGGACTGGGGTTTTCCTGGAGTTCTGCAGTCTTGTTTAGTGACAAGAGGCCTCCTTTCCAGTAATGGAAAGTCCCCTTTTATTTTGCAAAGGATTCTAAACTGCAGACGGAAGGAAAAATGTACAGGTGTCAGGCAAATCTGTGACAGTCTAATGTTTGTCTGATTTCAGGAGTACTGAACTGTATGTCCTATAATAACAAACCTAATAATACCACCTTGCTCTTACATAGATAGCACTTTCCATCAGCAGACCTCAAAGCAATGTACAAAGAAGGTCACTACCATTACTCCTGTCTTACAGATGGAGAAAATGAGATGCAGGGAGATTAAATTACTTCTTCAGTGTCAGCCAGCTAGCAAGTTGCTGAGCTGGGAATGCAACTCAGGCCTCCCAAGACCCAATTTAATGCTCTGTCCAGTACACCAGGCTGCTCATGCTGTTAAAGTTATATGACTAATGATGAGTCGTGTCATCATCTCACCAGTGAACAACGGTTAGCCACTGACCAGGATACTTCTGTCTCACCTGCTTTTTAGTTCCTGCAGTTCATGTCTTGCACCATTCACTGGAGCCAGGACACACACAACTCAGTCTGCCACACCTTTAGATACAGTTGGCAAAAAAACAGCAAATAGTGAATTTCTTCCTGTCTCCATTTTAGGTCCGAGATTTAATAGACAAAATCCGTGAAGTGTTCATTGAGACATTAGATGAATTGCAGTGGATGGATGAGACGTCTAAAGAGAAAGCTCGTGAAAAGGTCAGACATCACAAGAAACCTCAATATCCTGTTGAGAACTTCAGATCTTGGGGAAATTGTGCAAGATCATTATTTCAACTCCACAGAAGTATCAGAGAGAGAAAGAGCAATTAAAATAAGTTCTGTCAAATTTATTCACAAATGTCCTTCATATTACTTTGATCCTGTATTTAGTTCTCAAACACTTATATTCTGTTTAATCAGACGTGGATCAAGGTCCAAGTGTATCATATGCTTGCATCTAGACAAAAGCAATAAGTCTTCCCTGTGTATACATGGATCTGTATTTCTTTTTGAGGATTAAGAGAACATAACAGGTTGTCTTTGCTTGTAGGCAATGGAAATTAAAGAACAAATTGGTTATCCAGATTATATTTTGGAAGATCACAATGAAAAACTGGATCAGGAATATACAAATGTAAGTCTGCAGCGTGTCCCCTCCATGTGGTGAACTTCAAAACAAATGTACTGCCTTACTTTTTACAATACTTAATACCTGAGTTACACATCATTCTCAGAGGTCCAATTAGGACTACAAGCTGCATTTTTTAGAGATGCTTATAGGAGTGTATAAATATACAGTTCCTTTCCTAAGTAGCACACCGTTTAAGAAACAGTTTGTAATCCAAATATTTTCATAACATGCATTAATAGCATTATATTGTAACAACTTTACAAGCAAATTGCTGATACCCTGGGATTTGTATTTCTTCAGTTAAACTTCAGCGAGTACAAATACTTTGAAAACATCCTGGAAAACCTGAGAGCTGGAGCGCAGAAGAGCCTGAAAAAGCTTCGAGAGAAAGTTGACCAAGATATGTGAGTGCTCATATTGCATGATACATGAACACCCTAAATCCTGGGCAAATGGTGAGAGATTGTCCTGAAGTGATGGAAAAGCATGCATTGAAGATAATTATGACTGCTTTTGTTTGTGAGCATCTCAGGGCATGTTGCTTGCAGGAACTGAACAAATGTTTCTTTATCTGCCTTTAATAGTAATGTAGGTTAGAGTGACTACACGGGATCAGCCAGACCTCTTGAAATCTGTGTAGCCTTTCATTTGCTTCACGTTATTCTGTTACAATGGAGCTCTTTATCACAAAAGCCGTGACTGATCTTCTTGACAACTGAGCAATGGGGAAATGGGTAGCATGTGTGCTGTGGATATTTTAAAATAAGTAATTGAAAAGGAATTTTAAAATGGCTTAAATAGTCCATTTAAACTGCAGTTGAAAACACTCCTGAAATATGGGGAAGTTCCACTCTGGATCCAGATGTAAACTTCGAAGGTCCCAAATTTTATTCAGATACACACCTTGTTTTTGAAAGGCAAACTGAACAAAATAGATTTTTCTACAATTATGGCTGCATAGAGCAGGAACACTGCCTAATCTTCAGCTGACTCACCCTCTCCTTCCTACTTAACTAAAGCTGAAACCATAGCTGCTGCTGAAAACTGGTCTCCATAGGTGGATCTGTGATTTTGAAAAGAGTTAGAGTCTGCAGGGCTGTGAAACGGGAGAAGAGAAGTCAGGATCTGCTAGCAGACAGCAAAATTGGCCTAAGAAAGGTTAGCTTTTTAGCAGAACATCTGCTATTAAAAAGAAGAGACGATTAGCAGTGTAACAATGCAGCCAGATGCCCAGGGCAACTGGCACACAAAGGGGCAGTGGAGACTTCCAGTTGCTGCTGCAGTCATGCAGCTGTAGCAAAAGATGTGTTTCACCCCATCCCCATCTGCACCCATCATGGTTGCTCCTGTTTCACTGCTCTAGTTATATCACTGGTTAAGAAGAGTGAGGCATCAAGTCAATTGACTCTCTTATCTGCCTGAATAATAAATGTTGCACCCACTGTACTGTGGAGCAGGAAGTAAAGCAGGGCATTTCTATCCCAGGCAGAAATTCAGCTTCGTTGCTTAATACACTCACCCCAATTTGAGGGGTAGGCCTAATTTTAGGGGCAAAGGTTCATGTTGCATGAAGCAAAATATGATAATTCTGTGAGGCTGAAGCATGTGCAAATGGCCCATTAGAAATTTTAGTTCATTAGAGTGAATAGCCATTTTTTCCGATCCTCTTGTCATGATTGCAAGATCTTGCTGCCCTTCCAGCTCTTTCTTTGAAGCCCAGAGTTTGTGCCCACATATCCCTGGAGTGGCACCTCACATTTCCAAACTCTTAGCCAAGATCCCAAGCTACAGTACCCTGTGCATCATCCATAATTTTCCCTACAGGCTCAACTGGCTTCAAGCATTTGTCATTCTTTCCCTTGGAAGTTTGTGGCCAGTGGTAGAATGACCCAACACATTTTTCTTAAAAATATAAGTGTATTGCTTATGTAACCATAGGATACATACATCACCTCTTGAAAGGCTGAGGGCTTGAAACAGCAAAAAGCTCACATGTATCTGGCTTAACTTGAGCACACCCATCCTTCTTCTGGGGGCCCCAATAGGTCTAACTTCACTCCGGTTGCCAGCCTCTTGCTTCACCTAATCTCTCACTTCTCACAGGATCATAGGGAAGTTGGAACCTCACAAGATCATCTTGTCCAACCCCCTGTTCAAGGCAGGATTGTCCCCGACTAAAGCAGCCCTGCCAAGTATCTGTCCCACCTGCTACTGAAAATTTCCAAGCACCTAGATTCCACAATTTCTCTAACTAACCTGTCCCCATGATCGACCACTCTCACAGTCAGAAACTTCTTCCTAATGTCAAACCTAAATTTCCCCTACTGGAGTTTTAGGCCATTATTCCTAATCCTGTCCCCTCCAGCCACAGAGAAAAGTCCATTCTCTATCTCCTCTGTAATCACCCTTCAGGTATTTGAAGACTATTGTAATATCCCCACTCACAGTCTTCTCTTCTCCAAACTAAATAACTCTAGTCCTTTAAGCCTTTCCTCGTAAGTCTTGCTTCCCAGACCCCTAATGATTTTTGTTGCTCTGTACTTTCCAACCTATTCACATCTTTCTTGAAGCGTAGAGCCCAAAACAGGACACCATACTCCAAGTGAGGCCTCACCGGTGCAGAAGAGAGAGGGAGAATCACCTTCCTTGTTTTGCAAGTGAAACTTATCCTTGAGATCTTGCCATTAAATCCAGCCCAAAATCTTTGTTTTCCCAGCTCACATCACTGTCCAACACCAATTCTACATACAGACATACCTGAGCACCAAAATGAATGGCCTACACATTGTTTTGCAGTAGTTGACAGAAAAGTACATAATATCTAGTTTCCACTTGGATTTCCTGATGATTCTGATACTGCATTAATTATGCATGCAGTAAGCCTCTATACAACAATCAGACAAACACATTGAATATACCGTGTCATAAATTATTACAGGCAATTCAAAATCCTTCATACTCAACATTACACATTGTTAGTCAATAAAAAGTATCTTCCCATCATATCAGCAATATTTCAACTGCTGACTCATCAAAATACTTGTGTATCATACATTGGTTTTAGTTTCCTTTGTTGTCTGTAGAGCAAGCTTATTCCTTAGCCTCCAACCCCTTTGCAGCCCTAATTATGGAGGGCCTGAGAAAAGCATATTAGAGACCTTTAATTAATTTTAGTAGAATTTGGGACCAGGCCCTCTTGGCCTGTCAATTAAACTGAATGTAAAGTTCTCACATCTTTCATTTTGCATGTCTGATTTGCAGCCTGTCAGTGAAGTCTATCCCAAGCCTTGACAAGTCTTTTCTTTGAGCTACAAACCCACTTATCACTAACACGCCATTGTTTAATGAAATAAATTAAAGAGAATTTCAAAACTCAATTTTATTCCTTATGTTACCTTACCAATACAGTCAAATGGGCTGCTCCTGTCCATTCACAGTGGGAAAGGGACAAGTAAGGAGGCAAGTTTCACAACATTAGATAGGTCTGAGAGTTGCACATAGTGCAATCCTAGTGTGATGTAGCTATTCAGTACCATATGCTGAGCACACTTCCAGTAGGAATTCCTTATCAAAATAAGGACTCGACTCACTGTCTATGAAAAGTGCTTTCACAACGGAGACGTGAGTACGTCTCTAGCTCTGCGTCTGGGAGGATTTGTCATTATTTGTTGACTGTTGCAATTAGAAACTTTCAGCAGATAAGCTTAGTTCCAATGGAGCTCGGGTAACCACAGTAACTACATTCTGTTGCCCCAAACTCCTCTTCTCCATGTTTCTTTTGATGTAGTGTTATTTGTTTCCTGTCTTAAACTGTTATTATTACCATGAGTTGTTAAACAGCTTCCACATTCCACCTCCGAGGTGACTGCTTAGCAATAGTGAACAAAATGATTCCTGGCTCAAAATTCTTTAGGACGAAGAGTGCTAGAGAAAGAAAAGAGTTTTCCTGGGTGAGCTTCCCACATTGAATTATTCCTAATTGCTTTCCCCCATCCCTGACTCCTTTGTTTCATATTGAAGTTGTGTTTTTTGATCAAGAATAACTCAATAAAGATAATAACTGCATTTTTGCATAAAATTATGTTTTTAGATGGATCATCGGTGCTGCTGTGGTCAACGCATTCTACTCCCCCAACCGAAACCAAATAGGTAGGTTCTGAGACGCTGTTAATCACTCTGGGGAGGCAAGAGCAATGCAACCAGAGCAGATGCAACCCTGACTGAACCTTGATAGCACAAGGCAGATGGGTTGTCATGCTCACATTCCTTAAGTGAAAAAGCCTGGTGTTGAAAAATGTTGAAGGTCATTACCATCTTGTGAGTGCTGACTTCAAAGGAGTAGGGCTCTGCATTGTCTCTACATGGATGTGCCTGGAAATATAATTAAGTGTCCCTGGTGTGGTATTTGTGCAAATGACACTGAAATTATTTTCATGAGAAACATGCCACACGAAGGAAATCTGCTGCAGCTCACAAGACATTAGACCTACACGAGTTTCCAAATCTTTCCTGGGCCTGATTTTCATTGTTCTTAATGAGCCTCATGGTCTTCAGGCATGTTAACATTTAGGCTACTAAGGGTTGAAGTCCAGGATCTCCATGGTAGCGTTCTTTGAAATGATTCCAGTGCCACATGCAGGGCCAGGTAGACAGGCAGAGCTACTGAGTTTCAATGCATCGTGTAGGGAAGAGGGGTTTAGGTTTATTAGGAACTGGGGGACTTTCTGGAACAAGAGGATCTTATACAGAAGGGATGGTCTCCACCTGAACCAAAATAGTACCAAAATGGTATCCAACTGCTGGTGTGTAACATTAAAAAGGTGGGAAAGCCGACAGGTGCGGAACAGCACACAGTTCAGACTGACGCACCCTTTAGGGGTGAAGCCATAAACAGTGGGGATAAGAAACAGGGTGGGAGGACTCAGGTGAAACACAGAGAAGTCTACCATGAACAAATACATTTATGATTCAAAGGTCACAAACACATAGCTAACCAGGCAACAATGAAAAATGCTTTTATACTAATACCAGAAGTCTAAATCCAAGGTGGGAATGCTTAGCAATAAATAACAATATTGACATAATAGAAACATGGTGAAAGGAGGAAAATGAGGAACATCAATGGGTTGCTATAATACCAGGATACAAATTATACAGGAATGATAGAATAGGTCATATCGGTGGGGGTGTGGCACTCTACATCAAAAAACTGCATCAAATCAAATCAGGTAGGTTTTTTAATTGATAAGATAGGCACCATAGAATCTCTGTGGATAGAAATTCTGTGGTTCAATAGGAAAGAAATACATCACCAGGTCTACTCCTCTCCAGGGACAAGTCTGTGGAGCTGACCCAAACTGAGACGTCAATAGATGAGGTCCTATGGGAAATTGATAAACTAAACAGTAGCAAATCACCAGGCCCTGATGGCATTTACCCCTGGGGTCCTAAAGGAGCTCAGATCAGAAATTGCTGAACTCATAACTGTAGTATGCAACCTATCACTAAAAATAGCCTCTGTGCCAGAGGACTAGAGGGTTGCCAGTGTGGCTCCAATATTTTTTTAAAAGACTCTAGAGGGGACTGAGGGAACTATGTGCTGGTGAGTCTAACTTCAATTCCTGGAAACCTGGTAGAAAAAAACATTTTAA